AGGGCTCGTGAGGGGACGTCCAAGCGCTGCGGTGACGGGAGCTCGGAAAGGCGCCTCTCTCTTTGGGTGACCTCCGGGAGAGGTGAAGGGGAAGCCCCCTCTCCCTTCCTCCCCCCCCATGTGCAGGCAGAAGAGGGGGGCGGCCCCTCTCTACGCGGTTGCCCTTGCAGCCATCGACCGGCTGCTGTGGCGACCGGCATCTGCCTCCCCCTCTGGCTTTCTGTCGCTGCGGTGACGGGAGCTCGGAAAGGCGCCTCTCTCTTTGGGTGACCTCCGGGAGAGGTGAAGGGGAAGCCCCCTCTCCCTTCCTCCCCCCCCATGTGCAGGCAGAAGAGGGGGGCGGCCCCTCTCTACGCGGTTGCCCTTGCAGCCATCGACCGGCTGCTGTGGCGACCGGCATCTGCCTCCCCCTCTGGCTTTCTGTGAGGCAGCCCCCCCCCGTGCCCTCTCCGGGGGAGGGGGAGGCGAGCTGAAATCCAGCTTGGGCGCCGTCTGACAGCCGGTTTGTTATTTTATAGTTGGACTTCTCTCCCCCCCCCCCCCCGCCTACCTCTCAGGATCCGCCCAGAAACAAAACAAGCAATTTTAAAACGCCTGGAACAGCAACTATGAGGTAAGGGAGTTTTAACCTTTTACTGCTCTTCCTTTGAGATAAATGGCGCGGGGGAGAGAGCGTCTCTCTCTCTGTCCGTCAGTCCTGGCGCTTGGGTTTCCTTTGGAGTTCTTAGCACAAAACATCGTGGTCTAAAACACTCCTTGGGTACTAAGGCTGGAGTTCCTAATTCCAGATCTCTCTTCTGGGCGGCTGTCCTTCACCATGGAAGACAGGGTAAATTCAGGTTAGCCTGTTTGTAATGATCAACTTGTAACAACACCTTTCCCTTCACTTGCCAACTCGAATCTTGGGTGGTCTCTTAAAGACAGCACAGTCTTTAGGACAATTCACATTCAAACCCTCCCCCTTTATTGGCACAGAGGACAAAACCCTTAGCCTGGGTGGTACACTTTCGGAGCAAATTAAGTTAATTTACATACATTTAAAGGCAGGATATTCTTCCCTCCTGACTCAGAAACATACTTTTTCAGAACCTAGTAACTAAAATAGCAAGTTAGCAGCTGGTTAGAGTGGCATTTTGGTGAATTGTTTGTGCGGAGACAACAGTGTGAGTTTGGTGGAGGTGCGGCTCTGGTCTATATAAAACGTGTGTCATTCATGTGAGAACTCCTTTACAAGAGCTGTACAGGAAGATAATTCTTTCTCAGGAAGTTGTTCAGACCTTTACAAATCTTTTTTGCCTTACTAGTGCTAACCCCAGCAGGGACCAGCATTGCTATATTTTGGTTCTTTCCAACATGGCAAATTCCATTTGGATTAAAGGGTAACAGAGCAACTTTTAGAGAGGAGGGTTGGTTGCAGGTTATTGCTGTGAAACGGAGCTTGAAAAGTTCAGTTTTTCTTACCACAACAACTTCCGGAATTCTTGAACCATGTAATTAAAAACCCATAATTGTTCAAAATTTCCCCAAAAGAAAAATTCCCAAGCTCTTTTCTGGAGTTAACTCCAGAGATGCCTATAACAATGTATACTGCTGATTTTTGGTATGATTTCAGCTGTTGCACTAGCAGGACTGTAGAAATCACACGAAGCTGGTAGCATTGTGATTTGAAGACTGAAGGAATGAAAATTCCTAGCAGTGTATTTTTAAAATTGAGAATGGGCTTTCATGTGCTCTCTAGAAGAGTAGCAGTTAACTCCTGTTCTGCATGTTCTGTGTTGAGAGGCACTCAGGAGCTTTATTTTGGAATAATTTGGACTTCCTTCTTAAAAAAACAAAAACAAAACCTATATGTACATGGTCTGTTCATGTTTATTTCTTATTAGGAAATAAAGTCTTCTTTCAATGACATTTATGTTCCTATTATATAAAGCAGCATCTAATGCTGTTCTGCCTGTGGTTAGTAGCTCAGTTTGTCTTTCCGTATAAGTTTTATTGACATTCTGCCACTCAAGCACTGAAGTGGAGGTTTGTGGTATATGAGAAGCCAAAGACTTTATTGTGAAATAGAAAGCTTCACTTGCAGTGCAAACTCCAAACTGTCAATGATATTTTGCATTTATTGCCTATGGTATGATCTTTGCTTGCTTAACTCTTATGCTCTTTAGCACAACTACAGTATGTGTTACTCTTGACAGAGAGACTGGGAATGGCTTTTTGTCATGCTAATTGTAGGTTAATTAGAATCTTATAGGAATATAAAGTGTTAATTTAACCAAACTAAAATTTGCATCTTGTGATTCTCAGTTTGATTTTTGGTGGCACTTACAATTGGAGATCCTAGATAAACTCCATGTACGGTTCAGTATTGACCACCCTGGTGGGCTTTTTCCTTTAAAGTTTTGATGGGCCTTCCCAGCCTGGTGCTTTCCAGATAGTTTGGACTAAACTTCCATAACATAGAGTCATAATGTAGAGTCATTGGCCATGTTGTCAGACACTTACTGAAGTTGTAGTCTACAACATCTGAAGGGCACCAGCTTGGAGAAGAATGTTTTTGATAGTAGAGATACAAAGAATTACCTCAGCTGTTTGTGTGTTTTGTTTCTTTGTTTTATAGCATTTCTGTTCCACTACTTGTTTTAAACTTCTCAAAGTAGCTTGGAAGTGATGCAGAAAACAGGTAAAAATAATAAAATAATGCAAAAAATAAAGTCCAATGAAAACAATTAATTAAAAAAAATCAGGGTAAAAAATCAGGGTAAAAAAACAGGTACTGTAAGTCTTTAGTTGATATGGAAGCACCGCACAACGCTGGGAATCTGCCACATTTCAGTGGGGAGAGCATTCCACACAGCAGGTGCTGCAGCAGAGAACTCCTCCACACTGCAACTGAATGAGCTTCATCAGGCCATGGCACCAGGAAGCAGAGCATACACACCCTGAACATAAAAATGGGGTAATTTATACGGGAGAAGATCGTCTCTCTGATATCCTGGTTTAGAATTGTATGGGTCCTTGTAAACCAAACATTGCATCTTAAACCGGGCTCAGTGTCTACTTGGTGACCTTGGCAATGAGTGCAAGTCTTTCAGCATTTGTATGTACACAATAAAAGGTCTCATTAAACAGCCTGACTGTCCCATTTTATAATACCAGCATCCTCTGAACTAAGCCGAAATGTAATCCTACATAGAGCACGTGACAATAGTCCAGCACTGAGGTTCACGATTGATGGTTCACTGTGACTGCCTCTGTTCAGGGACAGTAGTGGCCAGGTCAGCTGAAGCTAACATTGAGACATCCTTTATCACAGAGGCTACTTAAACTTTCTATGACAGAAATGAATCTAGGAGCACTCACAGACTGTACACCTATCCCGTAGGGGAAGTGCAATCCCATCCTGGACACATAAATTGCCAATTCCCAGAGGCGTTTTTCCTGACCCTCTGTCTTTCTGGGATTCAGTCTAATTAATTAGTCATCATCCAACCATCAATCCAGGCTGTGGGCAGCTAGGCCTGATTCTGACATAACAGAAGGATGGAGCTGACTGTAAGCAGATGAAATTAGTATTCTTTCTTGTGCTTTTTTGTCTGCCTTTCTGAAATAAAAAATAAGTTCATTCAACCTGTCCTAGGAAGCAGCGGCATTAATAATGGTTCATTCTCTTTTTACTTTTCAGATAATGCTAAAGGGATTTTTTGTGCATTTCATTTGTAGCAAGATGTTTGAGTTCCCTCAAACACCTTGCTACATACTAGAATATGGTATATATAGGTTTACAAGTAATTCTAAGTTTATGCACAACAGAGTGTGTAAGAAATCCGTATGATTTGTCTGAGAGTGTGAGCACATCAGTCATACACACTTCTCCCTACAGAATTCAATCACACCCTTTTATGAGAATCAGGGCTTATTTGAGGCTCACTGCTGCACCCCACCACATATATAACCTGAACACCTGGGTTGTGTGGGAATTGGCTCTAAGACCTCTTAGAAATGGAAATTTGCTTTGCTTCAGACTGGTTCTTCAGGGTGTTAGGCCATATCCAGCAAAGTGTGTGGCAAGAGCCCTCTAGTTTATTCTTGCATTCAGTTAGAAGTAGGAGATACCTGCTGAAATAAATTGAGCAATGGTTCTTCAGGCTCCTATGCTCTTCATCTCCTCTTTAATAGCTAGAGACTATATGGTGAATGTGCTTCACAAGTGGGTAAAAAACCTTGAGTAAATCAACAGCTTGAAAAATCAAACCACTTAATGTTTAGTGTTTCTGTGCTGTGCCAAGGTGAGTTAGAAACTTGCTTAAAACACACTCAGCTGACACAGAATGGGGAAAAAAGCTGCAATAAATAAAACAAATTTAGGTCTTGCCTAGGTTGAACACTGCAGCAAGAGAACTTGCCTAATGAAAGTGAACTGAATTGAAATGTTATTTAATACTTTTTATAAACTGCACCATCACTTAATTTCAAAGAAATTTCAGGAAACCCCTGTCCCTGATTGTATTGAAGCTGTGCAGCATAGGGTTTTGCCATTTAATGCTTATTGTTTTGGTTATGCTTAATTTTTTTATAATATACAATTTACTCAACTAGGTATCTTACTCTTTAAACCTGGCAACTAAAGTTTTAATTGAAATGCATACAACCTTATACAGGTCCATCTTTTCAACTTCTTTATTTTAATTCAGCTATATATTTTTTTTCTTGAACTGATTAGTATAATGTAGCAACAGAAGATGGGGGTCGAAAAGTTCAGGAAACACCAATGTAACTTCTTTAATTGACTCCTCAATCATTTAGTATTACATTATTACCAATATTATTCTATAAGAAGCATGCTTATAATGTGTGATTATTGCTGGCCCAATATCAGTGGTGGCCTTATGATGGAATTTTCAAATTTAGAATTTTATATGGAGTTTAAGTGGAATTATGTCTTCTAATGGCATTCTTTGAGGTTGACAAAATAACTGCTTGCAGAATATTTTATGTGCAAGAAATATTTTGCAGAATATTTTGTGTGGCCCTTGGTGGAACAGAATTTTAGACTAGATGGGGCTTTGGTCTGATTCCACAGGGCTTTTCTTATTTTGGTGTATTATGTTCAAGCTAAAGGACAGGGTAGAAGACCTTTGCACTCTTGTCAGTTGTAGATGTCCTGTCATTTCCTATGTTTTTTAGAAGATTCTCCTTTAAGGGACAGGAAAGACGCTGTTGTAGACATCTATTGTAGGTAGCTTAACATGCTGTATGTAAAACATTTGTACTGATATATTGCTACTTGCATTGCCTGGTCAAAGCCTGAGACCTACAAGCAGGCATTTTGGATGTCATGAGGTAGGCACTTGTACTGTAATATTTCACAGGGCCAGTTCCTGACACAACAATTGCAAATGTGTGTAAGAGAGAGGCACACACACACAGAGAAAGAAAGATAATTTAGATATGTTGTGAGGAATTTAAGTCTAATGTATTAATTCCAGCACCGTCAGCAGCTTTGGAACATGAGAGATAATGAAAAAGACAAGGTCCTTTCTGAATATATCTGAATGGCATGTGGCAATCATCCCCAAAATCTAAGGTTGCCTTAAGTATCCAATTCATTAAGAT